TACGCCATATGGTCGAGCAATCATCACGCTCGAGTCCACCACGCGTGATGAAAGCTCAGCAGGTCAGAGCCCGCATGCCATTCAATAGACCATCAACACCCAAGCAGGGAATTACGGTTAATTTTCGCTGTATGTTTGTAGTAATGACTGTATTCTACAAATACTGCAAAGTCTTGTGCATACGTTACCCTATCTGCCACTACTCTGACTATGTCTCTGATGACGAATCCACGAAACGTCAGGCGAATAAAAGTATTGTCCCAGAGATCGAGTCGTCCCCTTCTCAATTACTTCCGGGGACTCGCATGTTCGCTTGTATTGGCAAGCAAACTCTTGCAGACTTTAATGGTTTGTCGTGTGGAGTAAATTTCCGTCATGGTCTTATTGCTCCCGAGAGTACAGATACAAGATTAAAATCGACCCCAGATGGACTTTGGATTGATTTGAACCATCATAAAATCCGTGTCAGATCGCCGACCTACTTTGTACGGCTCATCATAGCGAGCTTTTCATGGCCGTTCGGACGCCAGAGAAAGTGGAGACTGGAGCGGCTGCTATAGCATCTTGGAATCTGCGTTAGTCTCCCCCTGCCGAGCATTTATACAAAATTTCGAATATTTTTGACTTCGAATCTGCAACTAAGCTGCTGAAAAGTCCCCGAAAATTATTTTGAGGAAAATACCGTATTCAACTTGTTCTCTAAAGAACAAGTGACAGCATGATTATGCTGCCAATTACCGAAGCAAACGAAGTTCCGCCATCAGACTGGTTATAATTTATTCCACGGTTAATGTTTTCTGTCAGCATCGATTTTGTGTTAACAGTTGTTCAATGTCTGTACACCGCATAATTTAGTATGCTGCATAGGTAGGTTCCAGAAAGTGATGATAATGAATACCTTTTTCGACGTCCTTCTAAGAAAGCTACATACGTGCACTATATGAATATATTGTAGTTAAACAGCCGTCCACATAGGCATTTTACATGTTTTGGAAAGTGCTCTGTATACAAGTTAGGTTTGTTCGACCTTCACCTGAGACGGGTCAAAATGCTTGTACGTTTGAGGATACCGCAGCTCTTTTGGAAGGTATTTACCCTACGAAATACCGTCTACTAACGACGTTTTCAGTAGAAGCTTTAAAACATTAAATGATAGACGGAAGGATTTCAACTCTAAAGCAGCCAGGTTATTGAGCGGTCGGAAAAACGGGTATACAATTTGGCGGACGACTGCAAATAGTAAGATAAGAAGTAGGAGAGGGTGGAAGAAGGTCGGGAAAATAAGTGTACCAAAAGAGATCCGTGCATAAACAGTCAGCAAGAAATCTCACATTTACTTGTTAAAGGCAGAAGAGCAATATTACAGACGGTATAAGTTCACAGAGTGTGCAGAAAGAATCGAAGAATCTGCGAACCAGAGCCGCCTCCAAATTATTACTTGATTCGAAAACAAAACTGTTAATGCTCAGAGGCCGCTGCTTTCAGAAAACAAAATAATAATCAAAATTGCCGGACACAACCCAACATTCTGGGAATCGTGAAGGAAGGGGAGAGGACTAAACCATTGCGGCCACTAATCAGTAGTATCGGTTCAGTCGTGAAGAAAGGGCTGCGAGAAAGGGAATTTGAAGCGATAAATGACGCGCAAGTGACTCAGGGCACATTGAAATCTAGCACTGTGTAAGGTGAGTAGCCCTCCATTCCTTTTTTGTTTCGCAGACGATTCCAGTTTCTCGAGCTGTCCAGAACTTCGACATATTCGCCAGCCTTCAGCGAAAGCTCCTGTGAATTTTCAGCCAAAAAGTCCCGCTTCACCTTAGCGAAACTGCAAAAGAAAGAAAAAAAAGTAAACTCAAATGTCTACATATCTCGTTAAACACAAATTAGTCAGGCAGAAGGCAACGTGAAGCGTTTGTGTTCAAAAACAAGACTTACGCGTTCAGAATCCGGTTCTTGGTCTATTAAGATGGCTGGCAGGACACCGAAACTCAAGAAGTCTGACGAAAACACGAAATTAAATACCGCTTCTTTTCATGTTTTATGAGGTAGTGAGAAGTAGACCGTATGCTTCACGGTAAGTTTGAAAATAGCAAAACTGGTGGACGATATTACAATGCAGTGGCCCCTAGCAGCCACTTGGAAACCACCATCAGCCGCTGACGCATGGCGCCTTTGGCCTGCGCGCCCATGTCGTGACTAG